AATATGTATGTATACAGTTAAACCCCTTATTAACATAGGACATTTTCCATTGACATGGCCAAACCAGTCAGAATGGTCAAATTGTTGAATGGAACACAAAACGTTTGGGCTTCGCAACTATCTGACTGGAAAATTTAGATCAGTAAAATTAGAATGAGGTCCATTTTCGCTAGATATTTGAGAAACATAGACCAGATCTTTCCATTGATACAGATACATAAATTCGGGTCTGACCGGTCAGGCCATTAAATGGAAAGCGCCCATACACCTCTAATGAGCCAATTTTTTTATTTTCTCATTTGAAAGAACTTTTAAGACTGTATATAATACTCGTTTACCGTTTTTTTCATATCTTGCTTACTTCTGCAAATATTTGGATCGAAAGGAATGAAATGTCCGCTATCTTCAATTTTTATAGATATGCATGTCACGTCACAACAGGGGTCACACAATATTTATCCAAGATGGCAGACATATCTCATTACTTCACAAGTGAAAATATTTCAAGAACTAAGCAAGATTATGAAAAATCGGTAAAAAGAAGTTAATATATAGTTTCAAAAGTTCTTTCAAATGAGAAAATAAAAATTTATATTGCCATTTCCCTTTAAGCAGACAAATGTAACTGGTGAATGTAAATATATCAAATTAAATATTCATAACAATCAATGGTAAAAATCAATTTCAAGAATATTCACTAGACATGTATATGCAGTATTTCTTTGGGGGTATAAAAGCTATTAGCATTTACTCGGGAGGTAAATAGTGCTTTTTGAGCAATTCGATTGGTTGCTCAGCTCTGGATATTCTCTTGCACTATATTCACCTCCAGACAAACATGGACAAACACCAGGCCTCGAATTTGAGAAAAATAAAGGCAAGGCCAGTTTGTCCTTGAATGTTACTGATTCAAGATTTTCCAGTTTGAAAATTTTATTCAGTTGCTATTTTGAAGTTTCAAATAACGTTTGAGTTTCCATGAGAAAAATGCCAAACAAAACTATGGATATTTTAATACATGATTCAACAGACAGACTGACAGAAAGGTGCATTTAAATACTATTTTAAATTTATTACCAATTTTACAAATCATACCCTTGGTATTCTAAAGCCTATAAGTACTGTAGTCTGGGCCCTGGGGTTGAGGGCAGGCCACTACTGGCCGTGGATTTCAGTATATTTCGAGGGCATAGCGGCCAACAAGCAGGGCATCGACCGCTAAATTCGAGGCCTGCACCTCCAACATTATCATGGGTAAATTGTTAGATGAATAAAAGGAACTTATCTCCTATATAGAAGCGCAGAAAGAAGTCAATCTTAATACGATAAATAAAAAATATAAAACTATTTACGTCTTTTTACAAGTATTTTTGGGCCAAGCAAAGTGCCCAATTCTTTAGGTACAATCTGCCCAACTAAACACGGACTGAGGGTGCTGCAGACCCCCCCCCCAGCCTTGTACACCTATAGATGACCCTTTATGTACGGTTCGCGTAAATACTTCCTTGGATACCTGATGGCCACTGCAAAACAATTGCGTCATACTACGGTTTTCACTTCTTTCCAACCATCAAACTGACGTTACGTCATTTGATCAATTTCTTAAGTTGTTTCCTTTTTTATTTATTTTATTAATTTGGTTAGGATTAGAGTTAGGGTTGCAGTTAGGGGTTAGAGTAGGGGTAGTGTTTGGGTTAGTTACATACCCGGTAGCCATTTACTGTCGTTCCAATTGAGGTTTTCCTCAAATATTGATTCAATACATTACCTCAGGCTGACCAATTCATTTCATCAAGTTCCTCGAGATATTCATACACTTCCTGTGAAAGAGCCAATTCCAAGAATTTGATCATTTCTGGTCACTTCCTTTCAATTTATGATTGGTTAGTTGCACAAACAACAAAGGTGATTGGTGCATTCAAACTATTCAACAGGAAGTTTACAATTATACTAGGAAGTGTATGAATATTTCGAGGAACTTGATCAAATGAATTGGTCAGCCCGAGGTAATGTATTGAATCAATATTTGAGGAACACTTCAATTGGAACGACAGTAACACCTCTTCCATCTTCCGAAAATGACGTTACATCAGTTTGGTAGATGGAAACAAGTGCTGGTCACATGCTACCCAATCTTGGTTAATAACCCTTCAAGTGGCAATGCACCCAGATGTGCCCTACTTTATTATTTTACTCTGTCTAAAGCCCGTTCTCCACTAGGCGAATTTATTCGCGCGAACAGATAAAAAGTAGGAAGCGATCCTACTTTTTCGCCGCGAATTTTTTCGCCGACCAATCACGTTGCCGGATTTCGGTTTTCGCTTCGCGCGAACAAATTCGCGTAGTGGAGAACGGGCTTAATGCCAGATGATTTTACTCATCAGGGGGAGAGTGCTGCCACTCAATGGGTTATTAAAACAGTGCATACACTGACAAAACCTTCTTAAATTACCCCCAACCCCACCAAAAGTTCCGATACTGTGTACAATTTCCAAACTTTCAAGTCAGGCCCGACTACAAGATCATACACATACATTCCATGCAATAAGTGGATATCATGGGGGTATCGGGCCCCCAGGGTGCATTTTAAGTGGCCTACGCCGAAGATCTTCAGCGTGAGTTTGGCAAATTACAATAGTATCTATAGTTAATATTGGCGTATCTTCGGCGTAGACTTTACACGGAATGCACCCTGGGGGTATCCTTTGTAGTATGTCTGTACTATAGACCAATATATACCAAATACTATACCAAATATAGCAAACTAAACAATTATCATACTTTTAATAATATAAGATAGAAAATAAACAAGAATTTACCATAAACGATACTAAGTCCAGTTTCATGGAGAAATCGAAAGCGCTTCACTTTAAAAAGCCAAATGGTCAAAACAGTGACAATGAGTAGTGCAAAAAGCAAGAGAAATAACGAGCTATTTAGTTCATGTTCTCGAGCCGCTTCCTCTTCCTTTAATTTTTCCGTCTCTGCTTCATTTGCCTTCGTTAAAGTTGACAGCATTACACACGCAATGAAGGTTTGTAACAACAAAACATAGTGAAGAGAAGCCATCTTCTAGCAGGATATACAACCTCGATTACAACCAAGCGATGAAATATGAAGCTCTGTTAATAATAAACTGACATAATCATCGCCTGATCCCGGATTATTAGACACCTGCAATCTGTTGACAATCATGAGTGAGCACATGATCCCGGATATTGAAGCAAGTATTTTACCATGACGTCATATAGTAACCCTTCAAATACTGTAAAATCTTGTAAAATCATGCAAAACGAATAAACATATGCGATATAAATGGTAGCCCGTAGGGGAACGTAGGGGCAGTCTGGCAGAAGAAATAATATATTCAAAACCATTGCATAGATAAGTGTTCATGGTGACGACTCATGAAGATGACACAAATATATTATATTCAATATTTTAATAATGCGCGAATCAAATCGAAACCTTGACATCCCCCCCCCCCCCGGGCATACC